ATCCAAAATCAGATTTTCAGAAAAAAATTGCCAACCCAATACGAAAAGTAAAAGATTTTTCTTATTTTTATAAAAATCAGTACTTGGTCTATTATAATTGGTTTACCAGTATGTACATACATATGTATATATATATATATATATATATATATATATATATATATATATATATATATGTATGTATGTATGTATAAACATATTGATTTAGTTGATTTGTTCCTAAACCAGAACGTTGATTGAAGCTTAGGGCTTTAGTAAATAGAATAGCTGTCTTGTACTTTTAAGACAATGTTTTATGTTTTAAGTCCTTGTCTTGAAGTGATGCACAATAATTGTCTTGTGTCCCAAGTTTTAAATACTGTATACGAAGATAACGTTTGCAAAGAATAATTACGTATGTAAATGTGAAAGACGGTAACAATTTTATATATATACAATTTTATATACATATATACAATTATTAATAATAATTTTATATATATAACAATTTTATATATATACAATTATTAATAATAATTAATAATAATTAATAAAAATTTATTTTTTTATTATTATTAATAATAAAAATAATAACAAATAAATATTTTATAAATACTGTCTTAAAATCACAGGCCGTTCTGCTAAAGTATCTCTAATTTATCCTTTGAAGTGTCATCTATATATTCTGTTTTCACCTTATTTTTTTAAACAAGTACCCAGGTAGAACAGAAAAGTCATAATGATATCATTAGGATGTCATCATGACATTATTTGTCACTTAAAAGTCACTAATAAAAAATGATGCAAAAATGATGTAAAAACCCATACAGCACGCATGTCTAAAAGACATCTTTAAGACATCTTTAAGTCGTCTTTTAGACACACATATCTTAAAGACGACTTAAAGACGTCTTAAAGATGACTTTTAGACATGCGTGCTGTATATGGGAATGAAAAATGAATCGTACACTATATTATAAATAAAAGCGTCCTTTGGTTTTTAAAATATTTATATCGTTTTAATATACATATTGTTGAAGTAAAATATTGTTTATTAGTGACTTTTAAGAGACAAATGTCATGACATCCTAATGATATCATTATGACTTTTCTGTTCTACCTGGGATAGTATATATGTGTAGGCATAGTGTCTATAAGGTAAGATCTGCGCACAATGGAGAAATAAGAATAAATATTAGCTATTATATG